CGGTGTGCTGTGGGGGGGCCGGCCTAGGGCCCTGGGGCTGTGGTGGGGTGTTTGCGGCTGGGTGGGAGTTGTAGGGCCAGGCGGGGACGGGGGGGGAGCGGTGTCGCAGGCCCGGTTGGGGGGAGGGGGCCGGCCTAGGGCCCTGGGGCTGTGGTGGGGTGTTTGCGGCTGGGTGGGAGTTGTAGGGCCAGGCGGGGACGGGGCTGGACCGGTGTCCCAGGCCCGGTTGGGGGGAGGGGGCCGGCCTAGGGCCCTGGGGCTGTGGTGGGGTGTTTGCGGCTGGGGGGGGGTTGTAGGGCCAGGTGGGGACGGGGCTGGACCGGTGTCCCAGGCCCGGTTGGGGGGAGGGGGCCGGCCTAGGGCCCTGGGGCTGTGGTGGGGGGTTTGCGGCTGGGGGGGAATCGTGGGCCCGGGCGGGGGGCTGGCACCGCGATTCACCATCCCGCCTGCCATGTAAACAGCTGAAATGTAAAACCCCAGAGCTGCTGATAGGAACCAGATGCGGCTCCGGAGCCAGGCTCCGGAGCCAGGCCGGGCACGTGCCAAGGGCCTGGGCCAGGCGTGAGCCTGCGCGGCTGGGGCAAGGGAGGGGGAGTGAGCGAGTGCATGGGGGTGTGACCAGCGGGGCGCTGACCGTGCACCCGTGAGTGCAGGCACAAGTCTACAAAGGAGGTGGCACAGTGGGTGTGTCAAGGCGGGGTGAGTGTGCACTGAGCGTGTCAGAGGGTGATGGTGCAAAGGCAGGGGGAGCATGCCCTGAGTGTGCTGGGCAAAGGCAGGGTGCTTGTGCAAATCTGGAGTGAGTGTGCACTGGGCATGCCGGGGATGAGCGTGCACTGGGTGTGCGCAGGGGGGCTCACTCACTCTGGAAGCACCAAGTAACTTTTTTTTTTCCTTTAAGGTGTTTTTGCAACATCATCGTCAAGGGAAAATACGTTGGAAGGATCAGGGAACCCAGGAGTTCGGGCCCCGCCTTGCCCTCTTCCCCGCCTGGCTCAGCCTTGGGGTGCAGCTGGCGGTGGTGGGGGGGAGGTGTTGGGCCTGGCTGCTCTGTGAGAGGTGCTGCTGCCACCTGGTGTCTGTGAGGGGCATCGGCAGGGCCGGGAGCAGAGATTGTGTGTCCCCCACCCCATGCCGGCTGGAGCCTGGACTCCTGGGTTCTCTTCCCGGCTCTGGGAGGGGAGGGGTCTGGTGGGTTAGAGCAGGGGGGGCTGAGAGCCAGGACTCCTGGGTTCTCTCCCCGCCTCTTTCCCGAACCCCTCTCTGTCCCTCAGTCGTCCGCCCCTGCCCGTGGCTGGACAGGCTAGGACAGGTGGGCAAACTACAGGCCACATCCAGCCCTCCAGCCGGTTTAATCCAGCCCTTGCTCTCCAGCCGGGGAGCGGGGTCGGAGGCTGCTCCGCACGCGTGTGCCGAGGCTCCCGGAAGCAGTGGCATGTCCCCCCTCTAGCTCCTAGGTGTAGGGGCAGCCAGGGGGCTCCGCACACTGCCCCCACCCCAAGCGCCACCCCCACAGCCCCCATAGGAACTGCGGCGAATGGTAGCTGCAGGTGCGGCGCCTGCGGACGGGGCAGCGCGCAGAGCCACCTGGCCGCACCTCTGCATAGGAGCCAGCGGGGGGGACATGCTGCTGCTTCCAGGAGCTGCTTGAGGTAAGAGCCACCCGGAGCCCGCACCCCTGACCCCCTCCCATGCCCCAGCCCAGAGCCCGCACCCCTGACCCCCTCCCATGCCCCAGCCCAGAGCCCGCACCCCTGCCCCCCTCCCATGCCCCAGCCCAGAGCCCGCACCCCTGACCCCCTCCCATGCCCCAGCCCAGAGCCCGCACCCCAGCCAGAATCTGAGCATTCATGGCCCATCGTACAATTTCCATACCCAGAGGTGGCCCTCAGGCCAAAGAGTTTGCCCACCTCTGGACTAGGAACTCTTCTGGATGTGGGGGGGGGTCTGTCCCTGTGGGTCTGTGCAGAGCCCAGCTCAATGGGAGCCCCCCACCCAATTTCAGCTACTGTAACCCTGCTAATATTGAGCATGTGGTAATGGGGCTCTGGTCCCAGCTACCGTAATACTGCTAATAACGTGCATCCTGTAATGGAGCCTGGGTCCTGGCTACCATCACCCCGTAATACTGGCCTCCACTACTGTAATGTGGCCAATAATGTGCAGGCCAGACTGGTCCCCATCTTGGTTGGGCGAGTGCAGCAGGTGAGACGGGAAATACGGGGGAGATCGTTAACGGTGGAGGTGATTAGTCAGGGAGACGTCACCGGCAGAGCAGAAATCTAGACTGGAGGTTTCTCTGGCAGGTCCGCTCCGGGGATTGTGGGGCCGTTCTCCAGCTGACAAGACGATCACACTGGTCCTGTCTGTCCTTGGGCTCTAGGAATCTATCAAATCGCCAATGTTAATGGGCGAGCAGGAAACCTTGATTTAAATCATTGATTTCCTCTGTTAGTCTCTAAGGTGCCACAAGTACTCCTGTTCTTCTGATTTCCTCTGGTGTCTCCCAGGTCCTGCTCGGTCACTTTCTGAACGAAAGTTTCATTCACGGTGGCCGATAACCCCCTGCAGCCCTTACGCTGAGTTTGGTGCCCCATTGTGCCAGTTGGACGAGACGCTGGCTCTGGGCAATGATACAGTTCCATGGGTTTCTCCCAGTGCTTCGTTTCCCCCCCTTTTCTGGTGTTAGAAAATGCTGAGCGATGCTTTTCTTGTTTCCTACCCGATGATTCCTTCTGGGGATTGTGTCCAGCTCCGTGTGGCTGGAAATTGAGTTCAGTGAGAAATGCACAGCAACAGCATTTAAATGTGGTGATGGTTCATCTACCCAGCCCGCTGAGGGTAGTTTTACTGAACAACGTTTCGCAGTTTAAAGGCTGTTTCCCTTTAAAGCTAACCAATTTCTTCAACAAAGGCAGAATGGTTGGTGAGTGAATTGGGCCGGCTGCGTTTACTCACCAGGCCCTTGGTAATGTTAGAAGTAGTAGACTTCATCATTTCACACCTCGTTTTATTCATAGATCGGAAGAGGGAAGCCAGTTTTTCTGCTTTTTTTACAGCTCTCCGTCCCTGTGTTCTTTGCCCGAGACTGTCACTGAACTGAACGAGCCGAGTAGATGGAACCGAAGAAAATGTCGTCTCTACAGGAGGCGAACGCTGTAGAAAGCTGGTTCAACCCTTCACTAGCTGCTGGTTCTGGGTGCTGAGCCGGGACTCCAGCCAGGGCAGTGGGGAGACTTTTGAGAAAAGGTGAGCAGCAAACACGAGCCGCTTCACGTTCTGTTGTGCTAGAGGAACGTTAGTGACTTCAATGGAGGACAGGGAGTGGAGGCCTGAATGTGGGTTGTCACAACGTCAGACCAGGAATATATTTAATGTAAATGGTTACACTATGGGGGTGGAGGCGGTTGTTCACCCCAGAGGAGCCTAAATGTTGGACTTGCGCATCTCAGCCACCTTGTGAACATAGCCCAAAATGGCCTCTGTGTGCAAAGCGAGGCGGCCGAGAGCTCCTGGCCCTGAGAAGTGTCCCACAGGCCATTGCCAGATGGTGTTTGCTGTTCGCATTCAGGAATTGCCAGGAGCCGGTGCCCCCCCCCACCCCGGGAAGCTGCATGTCGGGGTTTGCATGCAGCGGCCCTGAGGTTTAGCTGGGAACTTGGGCCAGAGTTCAGCTGAGAGGCAGGGAGAAGAGGGGGAGGGTCCCAGAGTTATGCCCCAGATCGGCTCGGTACCCCCCAAAGTGGGTCTGGGCGAGGACGCGTGGCAGCCTGGGGCCAGCACTGCTGTAAGCCCAACTGGCCCCTCAGGATCCCCGGCTGCTGCCCCGTCCTTTTCCACAGCTCCTAACACCAGCAGGGAGCAGCGTGATGACCCAGTGTGAGCTGCGTGGCGTGGGCCGGGGACCTGCCCCGAACGAGCTCCTGGTCGGACGCGAGCCGGGCTCTCAGGAAAACGGCCACCCGGCCAGGGATGGGGAACCCTCCCCAGCCTTGGGAACTCGCTCCTGGGGTTAGCCGCTGAATTCGTCCCACATCAGCTCCCGGGGCCATGGGAGACCTGGGTCCGGTGCTCGCCGGCCCTTTATCCATATTTGCTCCCAGGCAGGTACCTGCAGACGGTGATCGAGTCACCCTCCCCCCCAACCAATGGAGCGGCCCCCTCCAGGGCCCTGTTTCTGACCCTTCAGTTCTTCTTGGAGCCTCTCCCACAGATCCCCGGCCTCGTGGAGCTGCGGGTCCCCGCACCGGAGCCAGGACCCAGCACCAAACACCGAGGTAAAATAACCTCCCTGCTGCTACGAGTGAGTCCCCGGTTTGTGCAGCCCATGGCGTCTGCGATGTCGCACTGGGAGCTCCTATTCCCACGGCCCCCAGAGCTTTTCCAGTCGCCGTGTCCCAGGAGAGCCCCCAGCCTGGGAGCACGGCCTACGCACTGCGTCCCTAGCTGGATTAAATGCACCCGGCTGATTCAGGTTGCTCTGTGTCGGGGCCTGTCCTCTTTGTTATTTACCAGCACCCAGCGCTTGGGTCATCCATGATCGTTGTATGTTTTCTTCCAGCTTACTGATGGAAAAAGTGAAACAGTCCCTGGCCAAGAAACAACCTCATCAGCAGGACCCCACTAGCCTCGCCCCCTTGCTCCAGGCTGGTTTCCTGATCTCAGCTATGTTCTGAGACCAAACACTTCGATGGTTTTTAGTATATTTAATGTTGGACTGGGGGGCTTTACTTACCCAGGTCATCCCATTTACCCTTTTCAAACATTGGTACAACATTAGCTTTCCTCCACAATTCTGGAACTTCCCCAGTATTCAAGAGTTGTTGACAATCACCATTAATGGCCCAGTGAGTTTCTCAGCCAGCTCTTTTAAAACTCTTGGTTTCCAGTTATGTGAACCTGCTGATTTTAAAAGTGTCTCTGAAGTTATAGAATGTAAAATGTTTCATTATAAGCTATGGCTGCCTCATGTATTTTTCTTAAAAACAACAGAAATATTAATTGGACACTTGTGCCGTTTCTGCATTATTATTGACATCTCTGCTAGCCATAGAGTTCTCATGGTCTCCTTTAAGGTGCCACAAGTACTCCTGTTCTTTTTATGGTCTCCTTTGTGTCCCTTATCAATTTTCTACATTTCCTAGTTCCTAATTATATCTTCATTACTGTCATCTCCCTTTTTATTCCATTAGTTTTATATATATATAAATAATTTCCTCTCTTGCTGCAAATCTCTGATCAGACCTGTAACCTCCACCTCTGTCAGCGCCAGCCAGGGAAAACTCCATTGCTTAATGGGCCGGGACTGAGGCCCTAAACCAGCCCGTCTTGCATGTTTATGATCCGTGCATCTGAGTGGCAGATGTCACCTTAGAGCTGTCGGGCTGAGGCTGTGATGGGGGAATATTCCATCCTTTAACCTGAAATACATAAGCATTGGTACCAAAACAGCCCTGACATCCCCCGCCCCCCGGACAATAATGTGTTGGGTGATAAATGGGGGGACACGTGCACAGCTCAGTATTGCGCTACCCCGTTGGCCTCATGCTGGGTTAATGGTGCTGCAGACACACACTTGGCCTATAAACCTGCTGAGGGCTGTTCCCGGGGGGCGGGGCCCAGTCCAGGCTCCACCCCTGGGCTCTGCGGGGCGGAACTAGGTCCCGCCCCGCTCCCCCTCCCTCCGGCGCGCTCTGCTGCCGCCTGGGGCCTCTGCACCGAGCGGCCCGGCAGGCGCATGCGCAGTGGGGCGCGCCCCCATTGGCCGGCGCTGGGTGGGCGGGGCCGGGAGGCGGCCAATGGCGCGGCGAGGCGGGGGTATAAAGCCGGGGGCGGCCCCCGCGCGGGGAGCGGCGGTGGCTGCTGCCTCCGGAGCAGGGAAGGAGGGGGGGCGCTGCGGTCTGCCCGGGACGGGACCCAGGCGTCCGGGGCGGAGGCCGGAGGGGCCCGGCTCCCCCTGGGACTGAAGGGGGGGGTCAGAGCAAAGCGGCTGGGACCCCCCCCGGTCCCGTTCATCGGGAATGGTATCTGGGAGGCTGATCTGGCTTCAAGACGAGCCTAGGAGCCCTTCCTTTGCAAATATTGCACAGTCAACCTGTGGAACTCCTTGCCTGAGGAGGTTGTGAAGGCCAGGCCTATAACAGGGTTTAAAAGAGAACTGGATAAATTCATGGTGGTTAAGTCCATTAATGGCTATCAGCCAGGACAGGTAAGGAATGTTGTCCCTAGCCTCTGTCTGTCAGAGAGTGGGGCTGGATGGCAGGAGAGAGATCACTTGATCATTGCCTGTTAGGTTCACTCCCTTCTGGCATTGGCCACTGTCGGTAGACAGGATACTGGGCTAGATGGACCTTTGGTCTGACCCGGTACGGCCGTTCTTATGTTGTTAATGTTAAGTTTCAGACATACCAACAGCCTCGGGGGTTAGAAGCAAGCACCCTCTTTGCAGCATTGGCAGAAGCCCGGCTCCCCTATCTAACTCACCTGGCCAGTGAAGTTAAGGGGGAGCAACTAATTGGTAACAACATTACTAATAAATGTGGCGTTTTGTCTTTATGGTTTTTCACAATTTTGCAGAAAATGTTTAAGGAATGGGACCAGGAAAAGGGGGGGAGGGGGCTAGTTAAAAAGCCCACCCTCCTTGCTAAGGAACTGTTTATTGGAAAAAGCAGGATTGGGCCCAGGAAATCTTACAGCAGCAGTAACATCAGGAGAAATTTGGGTAAATTCCTCCTCCCAGGGCCAAAATGCCATTGAAACAGTTAACAACAGTGCCTGCTTCAGATCTTTTTTTCTAGATGAAGTGGAGGATTTACACTCACAAAGACACAGTAAGAACAAAGAGGTGTTCAACACCTGGAAAAGACTATATAAGGCTGTTGCCATTACTGTATGTAATTGATTCCATTTAACCAATTCTACCTCTCATCTCTATCTTTTTCCTTTTATGAATAAACCTTTAGAACCTATTTGTCCCCATAACGAGTGGTACTGGTGGTAATACTGGGAAACTGGAGTGTCCACTCTCTTAAGAACTCACTACACAAAAAGAAGAACAGGAGGACTTG